GCCGGAGTTCTACCTTACAGCGATGTAAGTACGGTGCCACATCGTACAAAACCACGCCATCTTCTTGTTCCGTCGCATAGTAAATGCAGGTAGCGTGTACTACGCGATGGAATTCATAGCCAAGGTGTTTGGTCACTTCAGCATCACATGTGATTATTATTGCTCAGAGTTTTTTGGCATTTATAAAACCCAGTGAATTAGCTAAAATACCAGTTGTAAGAGCATCTGCACCGGTGCCAGTAACTGCCTGATTCCAGTAACTTAACCGGATGATTTACTGAACTTTGCTGAAATTCCCAAAAACGCGTTCGCACCAGCCCAGTAGCCCAATAAAAATTTACTGGACTCCACCAGACCAACAAAAAACCCAACAAATTTGTGTGTATTTTTGTTGGTCTGGTGGAGTTCAGTAAATCAATAGGCCAATCAAACACCCGGTAGAGAAGCGAACTCACTTCGCGATTGGGTTTGTTGCGGAATGAAGGAGCGCTCGAAGAACTTCACAGTGCACGAGCAGATCCAGCTTTGCCAAGCATGGCTGAGTGTGTCCCTCGACTCTGTAGTAGGCAATGACCAAACTGCCAGCAACTTCTTCGGTCGTGTAGCTGAAGCATTCAACAGCAATTCAGAGTGCACTCACAGGTATTTCAGTTATTGATTGAACACGGACATACAGCGGCACATTGAGCCTTTAATCGATTCGAATACAATAGAACCGGTGAAAGCCTCAACATACATTGGAGGGATACCATTAACAAGCAAGTTGCGTGCTTTGCCTCGGCGCTGAAGCTGTCGAAGTCGATCGTGCGTTCGGGATACAACAACGAGCAGTACTTAGCAGATGCTCATGAGTATTACAAGGCTCAAAAGTGGAACAAGAAACAGGCTTCGTTTCGATTGATGCATTGCTGGGAGATCCTTAAGGATCAACCCAAATGGATGCGCGAGTCATCTGACGCCGCACAACCTGCAGCGACCTCATCCGTCACGCCCACTACTGCTCTTGATACGTCGCAAGAAACTCGTCCACTAGGAGCGAAGCGCGCTAAACAGCAACAGAAAGGTATGACGTATAATATTTTGAATTGTATATTGCTTCGAAGTATAATTATATTTTTGTATAATATTTTGAATTGTATATTGCTTCGAAGTATAATTATATTTTTACAAAAATTTCGACTTAGATGCCCTCGATCATGGCTAAGATGCATGCTGACCTCGTTGCTGCGTTGGAGGCCAAGAATTCCATTGCTCAGCGTGCTCTTGACACGAAACTGTTTACAGTCGTGGTGCCGGATGATCCGGAGGCACAGCTCTTCTTTGCCATGAAAAGAAAAGAGGCGGTTTTGCGCGCCAGGGCCGATTTACTTCTGGCGGAAACTAAAGGCCTTGCTACTCCAAGCAAGCGCCAAAAAGTACTCTATTCATCGACATGCATGTGCTTTCATTACTAACATTAGCATTAGAGAGATTCACTTGGTGCCAGTGATATCATTGAAGCGTCCATGACAGCAGATCAGGTACATTTCTAGTTGTGACGACAATAATTTTTCAGAAATATTTAGACCGAGCTGTCGTATTGTTCGTTTGGTGCTTGCCCTGGCCTTGACACTTCGATTGTGAAGCACGCGTGCCAAGCGGTCGGTTGTGGTGGTTCGGTTCACCACCTCTGCTGCGTTGATGTCGATTGTCCTGAAGACACGTATTTCTGCTCCACTGGATGCATCAGCATGACGATGTAATAACCATGATAAATCGATTTTTCTTTGAAATGTTTCTATTTTTTATTTGTACAGTTTCCACCGGTGCTCAACTAAGTCGTGCATCAGCTTTGTGTGGACAGAACCATCCATGATCCTCGCAAACGATTGAATTCGGCTATCCAATGTCACGTTGTCAATGTTGGATGTCACAACAAATGGGTCCGTTGGCACGATGTCGTCCAAATATTCCAGCGTGGACATTTTATCGTCCATTTCGTCGTCGATAATCATGTTGTGCAAAACACAGCACGTAATTACCACGTTGTGCATGGCCGAACGATCCCACAGCTCACACGGGCGGGTCAAGACGTGCCAGCGTGCCTGGAGCATTCCAAACATTCGCTCAACATCCTTGCGGCGCGACTCCTGGTCCTTCTTGAACGCCTTCTCACGTGGAGACGTCGCCTTGGGCATTGTTTTGACAAAGGCTGCGTATGGGGGATAAATACCGTCAACTAGCCAGTACGGCATGTCGTACGTATTGCCGTTTACAGAATATTGCACGCGTGGGCATGATCCTACAGATATTTCAATCTCTATTTATTTTCAATTTATTTTTA